AAAAAAAAAAAAAAAAAAAAAAAAAAGAAATTTTCTACTCACTCTACATACCACCCACAGATCCCACCTCCTCCTACCCCCCCAACAAGTTTTTATCTTATAAGAAAATGTAGTTAATTTTGGTTGTTTGAGCCAACTTTCTTGGTAATTTGGGCCTTAAGAGTTCTGTAGTATATTTTTCCTTTGTCTGGACACTAGATTTTCTTTATCAGAGATTTTTTAACATCAAATATTAGGGGATATCTTAGTGTCTCTGAAGTGTTTAGCTGACTTTCTTTTCCTCTGTGGATAGCCTGGGAATTTCCTAGTTTGAAAGTTCTTATTCTTTTTCATTAATAATTCATCTCTAAGTCCATCTTTGCATTTAGAGGCCAAGCTGCATCTTCAACAATGTTTCAACAATATTCAAAATATCAATATTTGATATTAAGTTTCATTGTTCATATATTCTACCTTGCATAAAAACAGTTAAGTCAGGTTCTACTTTTTACAATGAACGGTGGTATTCTAGTTTGCAATAGCATGTTCCTCATTTTTATCAAGAGACATCATCAGAATGACCTTTATTGGCTTTAGGTCCACACACATTCTATTTCGGACTGTTATTCTTTTAAGATGACTGGGACTTTCTCTGCACCTCTTTTTTCATGATCAAGTTTCACCACAATCACCCTGGAATAGTCTATTCAAGATAATGCATTCTTTTTCTAACACACATCCCAAATCCTTTTATTATTGAGTTCCAATTCTGCTTCCTCATTTTAGGCTTTGTTAAAAAGAGCATTCCTCACCGCTCATACCAATTTTCCTATAACAGAATACCAAGATAATCTAGTATTTACACAATAGGAATTTATTTCTCAAGCTTGGAAGTCCTGGGTCAGTGTGCTTGTGGGTTACTTGTGTTGGTATAGGTCTGCTTTTTGCTATAGAGAGGATATCTTGTGAATAATCTCACGTGGTGGAAGGAACAATACAACCGTCTCCATCTCTTTATTGTGTTGTTCATGAATACAACCCTCATAACATAATCACCTTACAAGCACCCCTAGGTTGTGTGTGTGTGTGTGTGTGTGTGTGTGAGAGAGAGAGAGAGAGAGAGAGAGAGAGAGAGAGAGAGAGAGAGAGAGAGATCCACCTGCTTCTGCCTTCCAGGTGCTGGGATTAAAGACATGCACCATCATACCCAACAGCCCCTACCTTTTAATACTGTCACACTGATGATTAGGTTTCAACATTGAAATCAGGGTGGGGCACATGCAGAATATAGCAGAAAGGTAAAATGGTCTTAGTCTTTTTAAAGAAAAGGAGAGAACTGGAACTACCACCAGATGTGGTGTTTTGTTTTCAAGACAGGGTTTCTCTGTAGTTTTGGTGCCTGTCCTCGATCTTGCTCTGTAAATCAGGCTGGCCTCAAACTCACAGAGATCCGCCTGACCCTGCCTCCCAAGTGTTGAGATTAAAGGTGTGTGCCACCACCGCCCAGCTCAATAGATGTTTTGTTGGTAGGTATTTCAGTATTGTTCTAATTCTTTAAAAATACCAATAGAATAAATCAATATCCCCCAAGAGCAAATAAATTCACAAACATGTAAGCATGTATACAATGCAAATTGTATTGATAAAGATAACAATGCCTTACTGTTTAGGGTTTAACCCTGTGACCTGGGGAGATGATGGTTCCGTGTGTAAAGTGCTTACTCTGCAAGAGTCAGGGACCTGAGTCCCAGAACCACATAAAGCTGGGCACCCCAGCATCCATCCACCTGTACTTCAGTTCTCCTATGGTGATGGGAGGCAAAACCAAGAGACTCCCTGGAGTTTGTGAGCCAGCTCTGCTTGTGTAGAGTGTGCAGTGAGCACCACCATGGAAGAGAGACCCTGCTTCAAACAAGGTCCTCCTCCCACACAGATCTCCCCTCTGTAACAGACAAGAAGATGAAATTAATAAGAAACATCTCTCTCTTTGGTAAAAAGTATTTACTACAGTTAGATTTCTTTATGTGTATCAGTTTTTTCTTAGATGTATGTCTGTATACCACATATGTTCAGTGCCCCCAAAGGCCAGAAGAGGGCATCAGATCCCTGTAACTGGAGTTGGTTGTCAGCCATCCTGTGGATGCTGGCAGTCAAACCTGGGTCGTCTGCAAGAGCAACACATGCTCTTACTCATTGAGCCGTCTCTCCAGCCCTTGTGTTGTCTTTCTGTTAGGAAATGAAATGTGGCATACATTTGAAGCTCCTTGGTACCCTGTTCCATCGGATTCCTTATCTACCTTGTTAGAGAAATAATCATTTCCTTAACCTCTTTAGTTCTTTTTTGGCCTTTTTTTTTATCTTTCTTACAAATTACTTGATAATCATCAATTTCATTTTGTGTACGTTTTACTAAACTTATTTTTTGACCATTTTATGCATATATAGTACATTTTGATTTTTCTGCCCCCTCTGCCCTGTCACATGTCCCTCCTGTCCCTATCACCCTTTCCCACTGCATCCCTAGAATCCCTTTCCCACATTCACATCTTACCTTGTGACTCACTGAGCTCCTTCTGTGTGGCCACGAGTTTGGAACAATCCATCAGAGCCTGGTGGACTCCACACTAGTGGACATACTGTTTGTGTGGCCTGTGCTATTCCTGCCCTCCACCCACCCATTTTTGATGAAGGGCGTTACTATAGTGCAAGCTAGCTTTGAATTCTCTATTCTTCTTGGGGCCTGGGATTTTATATAGGCTACCATGCTAGTCCATCATCAAGTTGTTTTTTCATAAGCATTTATGTTTCCTTCATTTACACCCCTACCCTGTAAGCATACATGTGCTTAGTGCAGAATTACAGATGTGAGCCACCATGAGTTGTTTTTTTTTTTGTTTTGTTTTGTTTTTGTTTTTGGAGACAGGGTTTCTCTGTGTAGCTTTGCGCCTTTCCTGGATCTCGCTCTGTAGACCAGGCTGGCCTCGAACTCACAAAGATCCGCCTGGCTCTGCCTCCCGAGTGCTGGAATTAAAGGTGTGCGCCACCACCGCCCGGCGAGTTTTTTGTTTTTTAATAGATTGGCCAGTGCCACTTTTCTCTACGGGCCTGAGTTTAATCTACTCACATTTTGCAAAGATGGCCCCATTTTTGTCTCATGTATTGTTTACTGTATATTAGTATGAAATTGTGAATCATCCTGCAAATGCAGGATTTGTTCTTCAGTTGGAGTACTTAGTGTATGAAGATAGAATTATATTTGGTGAAACACTACTAAAAGCTTCTCAGTACAATCAAGTGAGACATTCTAACAACAGTTACTGTGTTGTTATCAGGGCATGTCTTTATGCTTCTAGTCATTCTCATTTCATACATAATGAGTACCTATTATATGCTGGTCCTAGAACACACTCATTCTGAAAAAATTCACTGTAAAATAAATGGACACATTACTTGCATTGGTATTTGCCAGTCATTTAGAATTTCCTGACAATACTAGAGAACTGAAGAGTATGAAATGGTTGAGTTGTTTACTTACAGTAAGCAGTATTATTTATCTAAACTCTTTGTGTCCTTTACTAGCTTTAACTGTGGCGAAAATTGGCATGATCCTGTTAAATGTAAGGTGAGCTTTCTTTCTTTTTGCTTTGTTTTTCTTAATAACAGGTCAGTACATTTATAAGATTCGATTAAAGATAACAGCTGATGACTTTGTATTAGCAAACAGAAGATTTTATTCTGCCCTTTTTATTTCTAGTGATCATTTACAGGTATTCTAAGTGTGTTCTTTAGAGTGTCAAGTTCCTGCTTATTCTTAGAATATCTGTGAGTGGAGCAGCGCTGGTGTCAGACTTTGTTTTGGGAGGAATAACGTTATAGTTTGACTTTTCCTCAAGATTCCAGCCTCCCATCTCCACTTTAACCAGACAAAATTCTTACATAAAATTCTTGATCTTATATAAATGAGCTTTTATAGCTACAAATTTTCCTGCTTTGAAAATATGACTAATGATAATCTATTCCTTTTTGACTCTCACATTTAAAGCTTGTCTTTGTTTAAGTGCTGAAATAAGCTGCTATTCTTAAGCTCTTAGTTATATTCTAATGATTGTTATTTTCAAATAGTGGTTGAAGAAGTGGATTAAAAAGTGTGATGATGACAGTGAAACTTCTAATTGGATTGCAGCTAACACAAAGGTTGGTCCATCCATGTGTCCCCCCCCCCCCCCTTCAACCCCATCCCCAAACTGTTGAAAAGAACGTGGTGAAGGATAGGTGTTTATATAAGCATTAGCAAAAGCAGTGTGAGTTTATGTTGGTATGAGCCTTACAATAGCTTTTATCCACCCTATCCCCAATGGTTGTCTATTGGTTCCTTAATTACTTTCAGGTATTTGTTATTGAGCAGCTCTAAGGCAGTATGCATAGTGCTCTACTTTTATTGTAAAAACAGGAATTTCCTGTAGAACAAGCTAATTTTGCTAAGCTAGATTTGAGGATTCTCCATCCAGTTCATTTATATTGACCTAATACTCATTTTTTTCTTTTCTTTTCTTTTTTTTTTTTACATTTTTTTTTGTTTTTGTTTTTGTTTTTCGAGACAGGGTTTCTAAAACTGTGTAGTTTTGGTGCCTATCCTGGATCTCGCTCTGTAGACCAGGCCAGCCTCAAAGATACAGAGATCTAGATCTGCCTGGCTCTGCTTCCTGAGTGCTGGGATTAAAGGCCCTTTTTTAAAATCATTTTTATTTAGTGTGCATGTATATGCTCATGTCCAGGTCAGGGGAGAACCACTTACAGGAATCAGTTTTTGCTTTCCACTCTGTAGCTACAGTGTATTGAACCTGTACTTGCTTGATGGCAAGTACCCTTAGCCCCTGACCTGTGTCACCAGCTATTGTCATTTTCTACTTTAAATTTCTCAGTTTTACTTTTTAGAAGTCCATCTTTAGAGGCCAGGATTTAAACAGAGTAACTAATTTTATGTTTTGATTGTGTAAAGTAAGTCTAACAGAAGTGATTCTCTGATTCTACTTTATGATATACATCTAAAATATGACTTATGTGAAAAATTGAAAGTGGACCGATGGTAGTAGTCCTTATTTTTATTTTGAAGTATGTTATTAATGAAGCTAGTTGTAAATTCAGTCTCTTTGGCACTGTGAATGTAGCTCAGTTGGTAGAGAGCTCGCCTAACAGGCACAGAGCCCTGGTCTGGATCCTAAACACGATAGAAACTGAATATGGGGACACAACCTGTAATGTCAGCCCTGCAGAAGTGGAGGCAGGTATCAGAAGTTCAACACCAGCACAAAGTTACACAAGACTTTGTAGGAAAATATAAAAACAAGGGCTGAGAAGATGTGTTTGCTGCTCAAGTAGGAAGACCTGAGTTCAGATCCTTGATACCCAAATGAAAGGCAGCTGTGGCCATGTAACCCCCAGTGCTGTGTTTCAGAGACAGTGGATTCCCTGGAGTTCAGTGGTCAACCAGCTTAGCTGAACTTGAAGACCTCATTGAGAGTGTCTGAGAGGAATAAGGCTGAGAGCTATGTTATAGGACTCCCTAGTGTCATCTTTCGCACAAGTGTGTGCACACTGTCCATGCCACTCAAATTTAAAGTATTGTGGCTCACACCATTGATCCCAGCACTTTGAGTTTGAAGCCAGCCTAGTTAAATAGTGAGTTCTAGTACAGCCAGGGCTTTATAGAGAGACCCTGTCTCAACAACAACGAAAGTTTTTAAAAGTACATAAAAACAAAAGCAGAAGTTGTGAGCCTCAGTATGAATTCAATTTGGAAGTCAGGGCCAGATTACCCGTATATGGATCCTATGTGACCTAGAATTAGTTTCCTTGTTATTTCTATTTTGTCTTTTATTCATGTGACCAACAGGAATAAGTAGCATTGTTACAATGTTTATGCTGCATATAAAACTCTGAGAACAGTGCCAAAGGATAGAAAGTACTCTACAGCTAAGTGGTACTAAACTGTGTTACAATGAGTAAAATAATTAACTTCAAAGTTTTAATCAAACTTAGTGTGTCTGATTAAAAATATTTTGATTGGTTTTCACTGGGGTGGAGATGGTTCAGCACCTGAGAGCACTGGCTCCTCTTCCTTCCATAGGACCTGAGTTCAATTCCCACCTGCATGGTGGCTCATCACTTTCTATAATTCCAGCTCCAGGAGATCTGATGCCTTCTTCTGGTCTCCACAGGCAGCTGCATACAGATGACAAACACACAGACATACATATAAATAAAAATAAATACTAAAAAAAAAAAAAGAAGCATTACATTGTTGTATTTGTTAAAACCCAGTAATAATGATACAGGTTATATTTAATGGTATTTATTACTTATGTGTATTAACTCTAATAAATAAATGAAATCTCGAACTGGCTTCTCTCCTCAGTGGTAGCAATACAGCTTAGTGTAGCGTTGACACCAACTTTATAGTTTTTTTCCATAGGAATGTCCCAAATGCCATGTCACAATTGAGAAGGATGGCGGTTGTAATCACATGGTTTGTCGTAACCAGAACTGTAAAGCAGAGTTTTGCTGGGTGTGTCTTGGCCCTTGGGAACCACATGGATCTGCCTGGTAGGTTGGACAAATGGTAGAGTATGTTCACATAATTATGGGATGTATACCACATATAAATGATACTTCTGCCTTTGATTATCATTTGACTTGAGCTAAATAAACAATATGTCGTTTCAGTAGAGGAATATGTTCAAGATAGCCATAGAGAGGGATTAGGTAGTGATATTTCTCACAGGAATTAATAATTGAGACAAACCTTTGGGTTGATATTTTCATTAATTAAAGTTGGAAACAAAGTAAAAGCAACACTGAACGGAGGTAGAGTAATGTTTTAAGTTCATGATTTTAATTTTTAGTTACAGTGTCTGATACATCCTTTAGGTAGACATTGTAAACTAGAGTTTATGTACAGAAATTTAACCTGTGTGTTTTCCTTACCCTACAACATCATTAAACAAGTTTTGTTGTCTTTAATAATTGGAAAGCTATTGAGCAAAAATCTTTATTTTTAGCCTCTCTTTGAAATAGGCTTGCGTTTCTATTTGGAAGAATTACCTACAGTTCTTCAAATGGGCCTTTATTGTGCAATGTTATAAGTTCTTCATGACTGAGAGTTAATGTTAGATATGTGTGCATCCATTGGAGATGGGGTCCAGGATGCACTCTGGATACCAAAATCTGAGCATCATTATGGCCACTATATACACTAGTATAGTATTTGCATGTATATAGATTACTTATAATACCTAGCACACAGTGATTGTTCTTTAAACAGTATCATTTAGGGAATAATGACAAGGATAAAGACTTCTGTTTGTGTTCAGTACAGTTGGGAATTATCTTCAGATACTTTTTGCTCTCTGTGTTAAATGGCGTCATTCCATTTCTTTCTGTACTAATAGATAATTTTGTGATATGCCTGTTTATTTGAGAAAATGCAAGTTAAATTTTAGATGAGTTTGAGAAAATTTTAGATGAGGTTGATTGAGAAACAGGAGCTAAGCACATACCCTGTTGAAATGAAAATGTTTGTGTTACCTTCCTACTTTCTTTTGATCCCCCTTCCTCCAGTAAGTTGTGGGGGATAGGGAAAGTTAGGAAATAGAACTGTGGTATAAAATAGTTTGGATATTGTGAGGGTTTAAGTTAAAGTAACATGGTTAGATGAAAAGGGTCTGTCTGTATTGTGTCCTTACAGATTGTCAAATAATTACAGTGCTCTGTGGAGATTGGATGGGAGGGGGCATGCAGGTTCAAGACAAGATAAAGGAAATAGGAACTTAATACAAAAGTTAGGCATTTGCTTTTAATTTAATTGGAACCTGTATTAGTTATAGCAATTGGAAGAATGATAATAGGGTTCACTTCTGAAACTAATTCTAAGGAAAATCTAATTTGTTATTGGTAAATAAAGAAGTTATGCCATTGTCAACTGAAGACAGATTCTGTTTGTTTGTTTTGGTTTTGTGGGGATTCTCTGTTTAGTTTTGGTGCCTGTCCTAGATGTCGCTTTGTAGGCCAGCCTGTCCTTGAACTCACAGAGATTCACCTGGCTTAAAGGTTGTGGGATTTTTTTGAGTCAGAGTTTTTCTGTGTAGCCTTGGCTGTCCTGGAACTTGCTCTGTAGATCAGACTTGCCAGAACTCTCAGAGATCTACCTGCCTCTGCCTCCCAAGTGCTGGGATTAAAGGGGGCTACCTCTTCCTCCTTTACCCCCACCCCCCTCCCCTCCTGTCTCTCATGATAGCAAACTTAGGGGTTTCCAGAAACTATAATAAGGACACTGTATATTTTTTTATGCAAGCCTAGAGAAGTGGGGAATAAAGAAGAGTTTTTCAAGACCTTTGAGTTTGATGACATCTCTCATCATGACTCAGATTTTAATTAAGTTATGCAAAGCAAAAGCACTACCACAGGCTGAATGATGACCTGGGTGAAAGGGCCATGCCTTTATACTTACTTGCAAATGTATCCTTTGTTTTTCTGTATGTTTTAAAATGCCTTTATCATAACAGTATTCCAAGTAGCACAATCAGTTATTTGAGTTAGAAGAGTTAGAAATATAGGTAGAGCCAGGCGGTGGTGGGCACACGCGTTTAATCCCAGCACTCGGGAGGCAGAGCTAGGCAGATATCTCTGAGTTCAAGGCCAGCCTGGGCTACAGAGTGAGTTCCAGGACAGGCTCCAAATCCATACAGCAAAACCCTGTCTGGAAAAACAGAAACAAAATCAAACAAACAAAAAAAGAAATATATGTAGATACTAAATATTTACTTTTGCTAGCCTTAAAATCTTTAATAGTTTCGGGAGGAAAAAGCCTGTGTTAAGATGGTGCTTTAAAATACATTTTAAAAAGTATTGCAAAGAGTGGATATGGTGGCACACACCTTTAATTCCAGCACTCAGGAGGCAGGTGCATCTCTAAAGGATGGCCTAGCCTGGGTTGCATAAATAGTTCTGGGCCAGCCTGAGTTACATAGACAGACCATATCTCAAAAACAAACTACAAGGGAATGTTGTGAGGTTTAGGAGATAGGAAGAAAAGAATTTTAATAGTTAACCAAGAGATAACAAGAGCAGAGATCTTCCAATTACATTAAGCATACTAGTGCATCAAGAAAAGAACATTGAATGATCAGGTGAAAATTAACATTAAATCTCCCTTACCCAGATAAATTACCTGTTACTCTAAGACCAATTGTGGGAAATAGGCAATCGGCTAGTATCAAAGATTAAGCAATTAAAAGTATAAATTCACATTTCTGATTTAATTCTATACCATACCTAAAAACTATATCTGAACCATATTTCAGTAGAATATTTCATTGGAGACTGAAATTTGTAGCCTATTCAGTAAAAATAGGCAAAGATATTTGGGATTGATTGGCCATTTCTTGCAGTAACCATAATAAATTTGCATTTTCCTTAGGGGAACTTTTAAATATCTTTAAAAGTTTCATGAAAGGTTACCCTACTTCCTTCTGCTTTCTGGTACATTTTCGTAAGAGCTATCTTATCTCCAAAGCCATCTGTTACTCAAACATGTAAGTCAAAGAAAGGTATTGAACACACACACACACACACATAGACAAACACATACATAGACAAACACTTCTCTCAGCATTGCTTTCTGATACACATTTGGTAAAATCAAAGATAATGAGGGTTTGTATATTATGTGTGCCTACAAATACATAGACACCAGTACAGTTCTGAAGGGCTGAAGATACAGCTCAGTGGCAGAGAGAGCATTTGCTTAGTGTGCAAGAGGCTTTAAATCCAATTCTTAGCACCACGTGCACACGTGTATTCAAAAAACAATTCTAAAAATGTTGGTAAGTTTGTACAACAACTCAGTTTTAGATTTACTTTGTGTGTGTGTGTGTGTGTGTCTGTGTGTGTCTGTGTCTGTCTCTATGAATATGCATCTGTCACACACATGGTCACTCAATTTCAACAGCTGTCCACAAAAGGCCAGAAGAGGGCATTAAATAACTTGGAATTGGAGTTCCAGAATGTTTTGAGCTGCTCACATTGTATGCTGGGAATAAACTCTGGTCCTTTTGAGTAGCAAGTGCTCTTAGCTATTGAGCCATCTCTTGAGCCCCATACAATTCACTTTTAACATTTAAATTCAACTTTTTTTGGCGGCGGGGGTGGGGGTATGGAGGGAGGAATGGGGTTTTTAAAAGGCTTCCTTTAGCTCTAAAAGGTTCACTGTTAACAGACTTTGCAGCATGTTAGCTTTTAGCTTCCTGCTAACTGAACTGCCTCTACGTATTAACTCTGAATCACTCTTTGAAAGTCCATTGCTGGTGGATAGTTAAGCATATATATATATATATATATATATATATATATAGCCACAATCAGAGTGTAGTCTCTCATAGAAGATAACATCGTAGCCAGGTGTGGTAGCATGTAACCTTAATCCCAGCACTTGAAGACCAGTGCTAGGCAGATCTCTTGAGTTTTGGGTCCACCTGGTCTACATAGCAGGTCTCAAGCTAGCTAGGGATAGTGAGAGCCTGTGTAAACAACAACAACAACAACAAAAGATACATAGTAACAAGGACAAAAGAAGTACCAATCATTTCCACTCTGAGTTGATTTCTCTGGGCTTGTTCCCTCCTTTTTTATGTATCATTCAGTTTTCAGTGACAGTTAATAGGTCATAACAGTGTGTAAAAGTACATACAGCACAGCATCTCTTAAAGAGTAATTTGCTGATTGTTGGTTCTCTGGTTTATGAAAGGAGAGATACAATGAGTAACAGATGGCTTAGGAGATAAGGTGATCTCTTCAGAAACAGAATTTGAAGTTCAGACTATAAGTAGTAAACATAAACTCTATAATGCAGTGGTTTCTGGTGGTTGTAGCTTAGCTGGTTTGGGATGGGTTACCCAGAAGGTGTGGAATTTCTTATTACATCATGGAGAAGTGATCTAGTATTCCATCTAGACAACCAAAATACTAGGTGTTGATTATGTTCAACCCTCCCAGTGTGCTTTATTTAGCCTTGTAGTTCTGCCATTATAACAATAGAACCCTGGGTGTTTTGACATTTCAGTTTATCTGTTGTAAAGTAGAATATTGGTTCTAGATAATCTCTTAGTCCAAGTTGAAATGCTACATTCTGTTCCTTTTTTAATTGATTTATGGCTTTCTGAAATCCTCTTAATTTTCTTTAAGGTACAACTGTAACCGCTATAATGAGGATGATGCAAAGGCCGCAAGAGATGCCCAAGAGGTGAGTGCAGCCATGGCAGGGCAGCACTGGCTCAGAATCCCCAAGGCACGTTTTTCAGGGTAACTTTGTAGAAGCATTCAGTTCTGAATTATTTTTAGATAGACACTCCAATAAATCCTAGATGTCTGCTTACAATCCTAAAGGGACTCTTAGGATATTTATTAGGCATATTCGTATTTTTGTTTTCTGAGAACGGCACTGTAGCTCAGATTGGCATCAAACTCATTGATCCTTCTGCTGCTTCTTCCTGACTGCTGGATATAGGCATGTGCATTTTGCTCAGTCTTTTTTGTTTTGCTATTGGTTCGTTGATTTTGAGACAAGCTCTTGCTTTTTACCTTGAATTCCAAATCTCAGCTTCCCAAGTCTGAGATTACAGGGGTCTGCCAATCCTCCTCCTCCATAAGGTTAGTCTTGTTGTTTCCTTTGTTTTAGTTGAGCTCTTAGTTGGATATTTTCAGGTCCCGGTGGTGTTTATGGTATCAACACTCACCTCTGCATTCTGCTCATTCAGAAAGGAGAATAAGAGACCAGCAGTTGTTCATGAACTGCTGCTATTCTGTATAGAGCACACAGTGTGTCACTTACTTTCACTTTGTTTTGTTTTTACCTCATTGTTCATGTAGTTCTGATAAGTGAGCTGATTTGAAACAGACCCCTCAGGAGTCTCCTGACATAGAGAAATGACCTGTTTTTAGGAAAGGATCCAGACAATAGGTTTGGGTTTATAATACTTTTTTTTAACCTTGTAATTTTTTTTTTTTTTTTTTTTTTTTGGTTTTTCGAGACAGGGTTTCTCTGTGTAGCTTTGCGCCTTTCCTGGAACTCACTTGGTAGCCCAGGCTGGCCTCGAACTCACAGAGATCCGCCTGGCTCTGCCTCCCGAGTGCTGGGATTAAAGGCATAACCTTGTAATTTTAATAGTAGTTGTAAAAACATTGAGTTTTCATTTGGTCGTTCATTATTGAAATTCCTAGAGACAAAAAAATGCTAAATGGTCTTCCAAGCTGGATACAATCCAAAACATGGATTGCATGTTTGTTATTATTTGTTCTTAAAGGCATTTCTTTAAATTTTCTAGGCCTGGCATATTGCTGTGTGCCTGTAATCCAACACTCTGGAGGCTTTGGAGGATCTCAATTTTGAGTCCAGCAAGAAACCTCTCACTCAACACACACAGACCTCAATCATTTCTAATTTTAAAAAAAAAATGCCCCCAATACATATTACGATACACTCCCATATTGGTAGAAATAAAGGTACTGTCTTTTTTTATAATTGCAAATGATGAATGTTTCACAGATATTTGTGCTATTTTGGTCCTTTAGGGGGATATAGTTTAGGTGGTTTGTTTTCTGAGTCTTGGTTTTTCAAGACAGGGTTTTTCTGCCTCCTAAGTGCTGAGATTAAAGGCATGTGCCACCACTGCTCAGCGAGAAATGTTTTAACTGTCCAGCTCAGTTTGGATTCAAAGTACTGGAATTACATGCATACTATTTTAGTCCTTTCAAAGAATAGAAAAATTCTCACAAATTACTGTGCTGATTTAAATATATTCACTACAGTATTATTTAAATATGTGAATGTAAAACCATTTGCAAATATCTTATTTCTGTACAGCTATATAACCAAATCAAATCACAAATCAGTGAAATTATTTATATTCATTTAATTTTGTAGATAGTGAAATGATATACCACTGTTTCTTGTTTATGTGGTGCAAAGGATAGAACCCAGGGATTCCTGTATTGCAGGGCAAAGATTCTACCAGTTGAGCTACATCTCCTGTGCTGAGTTGATGTGATCATCATCATCATCATCATCATCATCATCATTTTTATTACTTAAAAAGGCATGGTGGCTCACACCTTTAATTCCAGCACAAACAGGCAAGAGAATTTCTGTGAGTTCAAAGCCAGCCTGGTCTACATAAAAAGTTCAGGAGAGCCAGAACTGCATAGAGAGACCCTGACTCAAAAAAAACAAAATATTTCTGTGGTCTACTAATAATTTGATACCTCTACTTCACTCCCATTTAATGGTCCTTGGATGTTAATATAAGATGGATCACTGTCTTAGTTAGGATTACTCTTGCTATGATTAAACACCATTACAAAAAGCCACTTGCTAGGAAAGGCTTTATTTCACTCTTATTGCCGTATAACAGTTCATCTTCTAAAGCTGTGAGGGCAGGAACTCAAACCAGAGCAGGAACCTGAGACAGGAGCTAATGTAGAGGCCCTCCCCCCTTTGATCACTAATTAAGAAAAATCCCTACAGGCTTTCCTACACCCGATATTATTGAGGCATTTTCTCAGTTGAGACTCCCTCCTCTCAATGACTCTAGCTTGTGTCAAGTTGACTTAAAATTAGCCAGTACAGTCACTTTGTATAATTCTGATTTATAAATTATTAGTGGCAGTCCTGCTTTCTCTAGCTTCCTGTTTTACTGTTGTGCTTTTGTTTGTTTGTTTATTTGTTTTAAAGCTTAGCTTATTTTTATGACTTATTAGAAATCATGATTGTTTAAAATCCTTTTGAAGGCCGGGCAGTGGTGGCGCACGCCTTTAATCCCAGCACTCGGGAGGCAGAGCCAGGCGGATCTCTGTGAGTTCGACGCCAGCCTGGTCTACAAAGTGAGTTCCAGGAAAGGCGCAAAGCTACACAGAGAAACCCTGTCTCGAAAAACCAAAAAAAAAAAAAAAAAAATCCTTTTGAAGAACAATGCTATACATTTTTCTATATAGTTTTGATAATTCCTTTAAATACAAAGAAATGTTTTTTCCTGATGGCAAATACAGTGGGTGGCACTGTATTTTCCTAGTTACCATGAATTCTGAATGAATAGTAGACCGATTAGATCTAGAGATCATATTTAGCACTGATCTTTTGTTTTGAAGACCCCACCATTCGGTACCATCATACAGAAAATTAAGTCTCAATATGAATTTGCCTGAGACAAACCACATTCAGCCCATAGTACCATCAAAATACATGATCTATCTATTCCTGGAGTGGGCCGTTGAAGTCAGCTGCTCTTCATTTGTTTGCTGGTAAAATCCCTTTCTAAGTCCTTTAAAGTAGGGGTTTATAGCTTGTACTTCACAAATTAGACCATTCTAGAATCTTATACTGCTGTTGGGGCATAGGGAAAGATTTCATATCACTGTTATTATTTATTTGATGGCCATGTACCATTACATGCTTATTTTTAACCTTTTGATTATTCTTTATGCTCTCCACTCTTAACATGCTGACCTTTTGGGTTATTGTTAGTCTTCAGAAGTATTAGAAATTTGGTATACAGTCCAGAAAGATCATTGGTGGTATTTTGAGTGCTTTGTGTTGTAGAAAAGTTCAAGCTCTGTTGTGCTGACAGTGGTAAAAATTTGAATTTTCTTCTGTCTTTGGAAGTCAGTAATCCTTCTCTGTGGAGGGTTAAATAAAACCACAGCTACTCAAAGGGTGAATCAGGAACATTATGAATACAAGGTCTGGCTGAGCTACAGAGAGAAGTTAAAAGCCACCCTGAGCAGTTTAGTGATACTCTTTTTTAAAAGGGGTGTGTGGTTGTGTGTATTGGGAGAACCAGAGAGATGGCTCAGTGTTTAAAACATTACTTTAAAAAAGCATGGCCCCAAATTCAGCATCCACATGGCAATTGCCTGTGATCCCAGCATTGAGGCAGAAACAGGACTCTTGTGGCTAGCTGCCCGGCTACATTAGCCAGAATCAACAAGATCTGTGTTCAGTGAGAGTCCATGCCTTAATAAATAGTGATCCAGAAAGACACACTACGTGAACTTTATCTCTAGACACGCATACATTCTACACACACATACACCTGTTGGGGTTGGGGAAGATAAGCCCATTGAGATTGCTCAGTAAGTAAAAATGTTTGCTATACAAATTTGATAAACTTGCATTTGATCCTTTGAATCCACAGTGTGGAAAGAGAGAACTGATTCCTGAAAGTTAACTCTGACCTCCTGCTGGCATATGCGTGTGCATATGTACACGCACACGCAAAAAGTGGAGGATGATGTAAAAAGGGGGGGAAAAGGTGGGAGGGTTGAGTCTCCGGGGTAGAGTTTGCCCAGCATGGGCAAGGCTTTGATTCCCAGCACTGGGGTATGAATCAAATAATACCTGCAGACTGGGTGATCTCCACTGTGATTACTCAAGTGTTTTCTCCCTTACTGCTAAGGAAACCATAGGCTTTAATAGATGAATTTGACTGTGTTCCAAATAACTTTGCTTAGATAAAAACAGTTGGTAGCTATCCTTGACTAAACCTCATTAACCTTCAGTGAGCTATGCTCACTGTATAGCTGTCCCTGGAACTCTGGGTAGATGAGTCTACCTACTTAGTCAGTTTATAAATTTAAACAAATTCAGACTCGGCAAGAAGAACATTGAACATTTAGATAGATGAGGGCTGGAGAGATGGCTCAGTGGTTAAGAACTCTCTGGCTGTTCTTCCAGAAAATCCGGGTTTAGTTTCCAGCACCTACATAGTAGCTCACAACCTCCTGTAACTCTTCAATTCTCAGGAATCTGATGCCCTATTCTGGCTGCTTTGGGCACCAGGCACACAAGTGATTCATAGACATACAGATAAAGTAATTTAAAAATATATTTTTTTAAAAAAACACTTAGTTGATTGTACTGCCTCCTTGAGTTACATTGTCTTAGGAGCTATATGATGCCTTTTTTGCCCGGGGGTAGTTTTCTACTTAAAAATACTTGGTTTCAAGGGCTGGGTTGTCAGTAAATTTGCGTAGCTTGCACTAATCTTAGGGTTCAGCCACCAGCAATATACACAGCTGTCTCTGGTTTTCTGTCTCTTTGCATCTGCTGTAGAGTGCTATCCAAGAGAACTCTTTTTGTAATGGGAAAAATACTCTATCATCATTGTTTAATTTGTTGGTCATTAATGTAGAACAGATATTTTAATGTTGAATTAAAATAGACAAATATGTGGCTCATGGCTGCTGTATGGAATCTATAGTAAGGCATTCAGAACAGTGTTAAATAACAAAGGTAACTATATATGGCTTTAGTTTTAATTTTAAATTAAGATTAATTCTAAATTACTGTTCTATTTTATCAGCAAATATAGGAAATTTTAATTAGCAGTTTTAGTCAAAAATCATATAAACTCACAGATAGTGTTTTAATATGTGTATAAAGTTGATGGATATTTAAATATAGATAATTATTTTGTCACCTTGGGTACCTAATCATTTTCTATGGTTAGACATTTGCCATTTACTCCGTTACTTTTGAATACACAATGCATTATTGACAGGGTCTCTCCCCGGTATCATCATTTTACTCTCTACTTCTCTGAGTTCAGTGGTTTTAGATTCTTCATAGAAGTCAAGATTGTATAGTATATATATTTCTATACAGGCTTAGTATATTTTAGTTTTTTTGAGGGCCTTCTACTGATTTACATTCATACAGTTCCCTTCACTCCACTGCCAACTCTTGGTTATCTTTGCCCTTTCGAGTAATGAGCTATTTTAGTGTGTGAGGTGCTATTACACTGTAGCTTAGACACCAGCTTTTGTGTAGGCTATGTATGTCATAATTAAAAGACCTTTCTTTTTCTTACTCGGGCAGCGATCTCGGGCAGCCCTGCAGAGGTACCTGTTCTACTGTAATCGCTATATGAACCACATGCAGAGTCTACGCTTTGAACATAAGCTGTATGCTCAGGTGAAGCAGAAGATGGAGGAGATGCAGCAGCACAACATGTCCTGGATCGAGGTGCAGTTCCTGAAGAAAGCAGTCGATGTCCTCTGCCAGTGTCGTGCCACACTCATGTACACTTATGTCTTCGCCTTCTACCTCAAAAAGAATAACCAGTCCATTATCTTTGAGGTAGGACAAGTTCCTGGACAGGGAGGAAGACTACCTTGTTTCATAGAACAGAGTTAAACCCTTTCTATTAAAAAAAAAAAAAGTAGGTTAAAAAAATAGTCCTTACTAGAAAGATAGAAAACCTTCATTGTTAAACTAAGCGGCATTGAAATGATGTGGTTTAGCCAGCTAATGAACCGTGCTGGCTCTGTAGTCAGCCCTCAATTGGAATTTTTACTTTTATCATGGTTTAGCATTGGCTTTTATCATGGCTTACGCTGACTTATCTCTTCCTTCTCCCCTGGTGGTTTTCCCTTTTTTCTTTTCTGGAGTTTTTGTTTGTTTTGTCTTCTATTTTTGAGACAGGAGGGTTTAGCTATGTAGACCAGGCTGTTCTCAAACTCACAGAGATCTCTCTACCTCCTGAGTACTGAGATTAAAGGCTTGTGCCACCCAGCTTGTGCATCAATTTTACAATGTTTTTATTTGAAAAACCTTTACTGCTAAAAGCCTACTATTTTAGCCATCATGTCAACACTAAAGATAACTACCATGTTAATTTCTAATATCAAGGCCAGTTGTGTGCTTATTGAGAGCTTAGATGTGCCAGGTGCTGAACAATCAATTTATATGAATTGTGTCACTTAAGCCTCATAATATCCAGAATGATAAGTACTCCACTCTCTTCTAAAATAGAGAAGAGCAAGGCTTGATGGATCACGCCTATAATCCCAGCATTCAGGAAGCAGAGGGAGGCACATCTCTCTGAGTTGAAAGATAGCCTGGTTCTAGTCCAGCCAGAACTACATAGTTAAACCCTATATCTACTCACTCCAACAAAGGGCAACAACATAAATTGATGCATAGAATACTGATCTTGCATATGATGTGAAATAGATTTATTCAGCTGGATATTATGGCATATTCCTTTAATCTCAGAACTTCTGAGGCAGAGGCAGACAGATCTCTGTTGGTTTGAGGCCAGCCTGGCCTACATAGAGAGTTCTATGCCAGTCAAGGTTACACTGCAGACCATGTCTTTAAAAACAATAACAACAAAAACTAGATACTTAAATTTATGAAAATGACTGCAGCCAAATGTGGCAACAATAGGGTTGGTTTTTTGTTTTGTTTTGTTTTGTTTTGTTTTGTTTTGGGGGGGTTTGGATTTTTATTTTGAAAGTTTTAATTTTTAGTTTTCAAAAAGAGCAGCTTTCAGACCTAGAACAATGTAAAGACTTTCATATTGTTTTCAGTATTCATCCAGAGGTAAGTAGGTAAGTCTTTATCTTTTCTAACATTTTTAAAATTGTTCTGGGATTTTAAAAAAAAAAAGGTTATTACAGGTGAAAGCCCCAAAGAGCTAGTTAAGCAACTTGTCAAAATGACTATCAGTGTTGAAAGTATGTGTATAGTCAGCAAACTAGCTTAAATGGGTTATATTTTAGCTTGACTTTGAAGCCAGAATTTATATTCTTTTTCTTTCAGAATAATCAAGCAGATCTAGAAAATGCCACAGAGGTGCTTTCGGGTTACCTCGAACGAGATATTTCCCAAGATTCTCTGCAGGATATAAAGCAGAAAGTCCAAGATAAGTACAGGTGAGAATAAAATCTGCCAGTGGTGAGGTTCTGTATGGTTGACTGTACTTCTGTGTTTCCCAGATTCCCTCTGTCTATTGGGCCAAAAATTGCAGAGAATATACTTACTGATGGAGTGTAGAAGAGGAATCTAGACATGTATTCTAATGGCTGATTCTTTTTTTAAAAAAAAGATTTATTTATTTATTTATTATGTATATAGTATTCTGCTTGCATGTATGCCTGCAAGCCAGAAGAGGGCACCAGATCTTATTACAGATGGTTGTGAGTCACCATGTGGTTGCTAGGAATTGAACTCAGGACCTCTGGAAGAGCACCCAGTGCTCTTAACCTCTGAGCCATCTCTCCAGCCCCCTAATGGCTGATTCTGTTTCATTTGAAATCCCTACACCATAGGAAAGAAAGACTTTAAAAGGAATAAGTAGCTATTATTAGCATGAGGGGATGTTGGTTTTTATCCAGGAACTCTTGTGGGTCATGGTTCTTTGCAAGTGAATTATGCATTCTTTTTAGAGTTTTTGTTAGCTTTTATATCTTGGGAGAAATTTAGCTCAGGGGTAAACAGCAGTTCAAGATTGGATGGTTCCTCAAATAAAACTTTTTCCCAATGGGTATCTCTTTCTGAAATGATTTATTTTTTTAATTTATGTATATTTTTGTGTAAGTATGTACATGTGTATCCAAAGAGACCAGAAGAGGGGGACATATTACCTGGAGCTAGAGTTAAGTTACAGGGAGTTGTTATGAGCCACCAAATGTGGGTACTGGGAACGGAACATGGATCCTCTGGAAAAGCAGGAAATGCTCTTTACCACTGAGCCATCTCTCCATCTTCTGGTATCTTTTTTTTTTTTTTTTTTTTTTTTTTTTTATAGTAGTAAAGAACTGGGAAGTTGGAAGGCCTGGAGATTTAATCCCAGTATCTTCACTTCACTTCCTTTCGATAACTGCAATTTTCACTTTGTGTTTTGTAGTTAACCAGAACTATATAGATGGGAATAGATGGCCCATGAAATTAACTTTTTGTTTGTTTGGTTTTTTGTTTTTTTCAGACAGGGTTTCTCTGTTTACTAGCCCTGGGGATCCTGGAACTCCCTTTGTAGACCAAGCTGGCCCTGAACCCACAGAGATCTGCCTGGCTCTGCCTCTTGGGTGCTGGGATTAAAGATGTGCGCCACCACTGCCCAGCTGAAATTAACTCTTTATAATTTATGCAACTTTGGGGTTGAATCATTGTTTCTAGGGCCCATCACAACTTCTAAAACATGGAAGATTCTAAAATTAATTTCTGGCACTGGAAATCTGAGTTTGAAAAAAAAAAAAAAAAAATGGAAATCCTAGGCTGAAAGGCTAGATCAGTGGTAGAGTATTTGTCTAGCATGCACAGCATCCTAGGTTTGATTTCCAGCAGTGAAAGAAAGCAAAAAACCGTCCTTAGAAGAGGTAGAAGCAGTTTGGTGTGTCTGTACACAATCTGAAAATGGTCATAGTAATAGCGGGTGTTTTTTTTTTTTTTTTTTTTTTTTTTTTTTTTTTTTTTCAAAATCTGGGCAAACTATAGAGTAGTTCTTTTTAGAAATGGTAAATGCCTCTTTTTTTCATTATCAGAGGCTGATGACAAGTTGTTTTTGTTTTTGTTTTCTCTTTGATTACAGATACTGTGAGAGTCGACGAAGGGTTTTGTTACAGCATGTGCATGAAGGCTATGAAAAAGATCTGTGGGAGTACATTGAGGACTGAGAATGGCCCTGCATAAAATGAACTCTGAAAACTTTACCATCTAGAGTGCTCATGCAATTAAAACAAACACAAACACAAACAAGGAGGCACTAAGCCTATTCTGACACCGCTGGTCTGTAGTACCAGAATTCTGTTTTGTTAACGGAAAGTTTCAGTAAATTATATTGTAATAAAAAAGGTAGATAAACCATTGTACAACAGTATTCTAGGCCGCCAACAAAGTGTGACAGACACACAAAAAGCCCTCCAACTTTAACTTGTAACGTAGCTTCATTCTCAAAGCTGACTTCCTTTTTCTCCGCCCCCCCCACCCCCCACCCCAGTGTAGTACAGTTAAAATTTCAAATAGCTCCTTGACCCTGCTTTTCATGTCCAAACCAGCCATTTTGTTGTACTTTGGTAAAGGACCTCTTCCCCTTCTTCCCCTGCACATACACACCCCACACACACACAGTTGGAGTCACTTTCTCTCATACCCTACGGTCATGAGTGAATAATGATTATTAGCTACTTGTAAGGAAATTCTTAGGAGGGGAATGGGTAGGCAGCAAGAGGATTAAACAAAAAACACAAACACTTTGTATATGACTTTTAAAACAAGAGGACAACACAGTATTTTTCAAAATTGTATATAGCGCATATGCATGGATAAAGCAAGCGTGGCACGTGTTTGCATAATGTTTAATTACAAAAATATTTATTCTTTAAAAAGCTTCAAGATTATGTCTATTTGCTGTGCATTTTCTTTCAGTTGGCTTTATCTTTCCAGGGTTGGGGTTGGGATAAAGGTGTGTATGTTAAGCACCTCTGCAAGACCTAACTAGAGTGCTTCAGTTTCCCTTTCCTGAGGTCAGTTTGCCCTTTCTGGTTTGGTTCTGTCTTTTCCTGGCCATGGGACTCATGCCTTGCATTCCCAGCTTCTAGATGTAGATAGAACAAGGGAATCAAGTCCTGAGCAAATGCTGTGGCCTGTGAAAGACTACAAGGGGTTTGTTGCTTCAGTTCATGAATGATCCTGTCCCAACTTCCTCTTTCCTGTGTGGCCTTGATGCCTCTATCCCAGCCCATGTGCGCACGTTATGCACACGGCTGTGGGCTTCCTAGGCCTCCCCATCACGTCTGGAGGAAGCATTTCAAATTTTCTTTTCCTGTTTTATTTTTCCTGAATTGCTGCTTTGAGCCTTTTGAAATTTTAGTTATGGCTCGTCTCATCCCTTCTTTATGTTAGGGTGTTGAATACAATGTTTTCACTTTAAGTATAAATAAATAGCCATTCACTTAGTCCGAGATTGTGAATTTTAAATGGTGGATATTGAAATTGCTTGTGTGTGTTGCGGTGGGTTCAGTTTGAAGGCAAACACCACTAGAACATTGATACTCCTCCCATCCAGTGCATTTGAGTAGGAATCACTGAGTTTGCTTCTTTTCTATTGTCAGCATATAGGAGAATTAATAATGCATTTTAGCTGTGATGTCCATTTTTATGAAATTTCTACTAAAAGCTATGTTAAAAGTAAAGGATGGTGGTGGTTTTATTAACTATATACCTGTTTAGGCCATTCTGCCTGTGGTATTTTTCGACAGGTCAGCATCCCTAAGACTGTCAGTTTTATATTAGAGTGCAGAGTGAACTAGGCAACTAGATCAAGAGGTATAACTATTAAATGCCAGTTTTGGCTGAGGACCTCTTCGTCTTCCTTTAACTGTCTTGTGCCTAGGGAGTGTTTACCATTTGTGAGGCAGCTGTGTCTGTTCTTGCATTGTACATCTTATTACTCCATTGGGAAGTAGGTTCACTTTCCTCTGGCTTTTTGCCTAAGTTAGGCTTTGCTGAATCACCCTACTTTTCCTTTTAGAAAGGTTGTTACATGAGATGTACTTGCAACTGTTCTTTTCCCATCACAAATCAGTGAATGTTTGCTGAGTGTGCTATGCTGCTTCCTTAAACCACTTGTCGCTTTAGGATCAACTTTACTTCTGTCTTTTTTCTTCCCTTCCCTTGTCACCTCAGGTGCAAATCTGAACTTGTGTCTGCTTCTCCATTTTCTCTTTGCCCTGTCTTTCCCCCATTATCCATTTGACTTTATTTTAAATAATTGCATCAGTCTTTAAAAAAAAAAGCAACATTTATCAAAACCAACGAGATTTCAAAGAAAGCTCAAAGTAAGTTCCTTTTCCTGGTGACTTTGAAAAGCAACCAGAATTGTCACATAGATATATGGTCCCTTAAAATGCTTTGTGTATGTGGTGTTTAAAAACAGTTAACTTCGCAGTATCTAGGTCTGAGTGTCAGAAGTCCTCTTCACGCCCTGCCCTTGCAACAAGTATCCAAAAGAGTGTTTGCACCTTATAGTCCCAGTCCCCACCCATGGAGGGATAGTGCAGTTGGTGACACTTCCTAGTCCCAGTGCTCACATGGGACTTGAGGGTATTGCACTCATAATCTGTGTGGATCAAGGTGAATTGGCCTTTCTGCTACATCCAAGCTTTTAACAACTGTCTCCACATCTAACAGAGTTTTCAGAATTTAACTGCTTTTGTTAGTAGCTTCAGTGCCCCCAGCTGGGATAGGCAAGCCATATTGTTTGACAACTTTCCTATTTGACCTCCCTAAGTCTCTCAGAGGGCTCTACTTACAGTAAGCACAAGGGTCTCCTTGTGTTTTTGAGGTCAGTTACATTCTAGGCACATGCTTCATTTGAGCAATTCATTGAGCAGCAGGTGAACTTTTAATGATTTACAATAAAATTTTGATCCAAAGCTCAGGAGACATACTATTGTGGTAAATGGAGTAGCATATAACATCACCAGACTCTAAATTCTTTGTAATTTGCTGCAACTCAGATTGTATATGTTTTATGTGTGTTTAAATAAATATATTAAAGACACACGTGTATACATACATACCAATAGATCCAAGACTGACTGACTTGGTTTGAAATGGTTGAATCTGCAGTGTAATGTGTGGTTCACCTGTGATTAGGAGTTGAAACTTAGAACAAGAGAGTAAAAGGACTTAATGTAACATTATTTTAGCCACATATCCCGATATAGAGCACTTGGGGAATGGGATGGGGTGGGTTGGTGAGACAATCAGATCGATAAATTGATTAAATGCTCCTAACCCTGTAATTTTGTGCATAGAGCACCTTGTGCTGTGGAAATAACTGTTCTTAGATTTTCATTGTAACTGGACTGTTCAGGTTGCCCAGAGGGAAAGAACATTCCTAATTCTAATAAAATAAACATTTATTTTGTTATTCCATTAGTTACTTATGTTTATTTTTATAGCTGAAAACAGATGAATTAGGTGGATAACAGCCACCTGAATAATGTGCCTTATTCACTGTTCCTATTTAATATAAACTGTCAAAAATTGGTTCAGGTCCTAGGTAGGGAACTGTGAATGAGACCATCCCCATCATTTAATTTGGCTAATGAAACTTTCAGAAGTACTTCTGAAAGCTTTCTGGTTTCCAAATCGCAAACATGGAATTTAGATTGTTTATGTTCTAATAGTGATACACATCTAGATGCTCAGATCCTCAATGTCAGGTTTTTGTTTTTTTAAATAAGATATTTAAAATACTATTCTCAGCCTCAAAAGTACTTCACCTTACTTTCATGTAGAAGCTGATGGTCGCTGTAAAGCAGTCTCAAAGCTGAAGATACTTGTAGATATTGTTAATGATACAATAACCAAGTCCAGACTTTAGGACAGTGAGTCTTATCCCATCAATAGTGTAATCTGTCACTTCCATCTTCAAAGCACTTACTCTCAAACAAGTGGAGTAAAGATTGTATTTCACAGAAGAGAACAATAAGACTCAGTAAGATTATCTAGGACCAGAGCAACATCCAGCTACCTCTCTGTACAATTTTCTTATTCCGGTCTCAGAATTATGTAGTATCCATGACCAGAAGTGTCATTTAGTGCTGTGTTTCTGAACCATACTTTAACAGCAGTTATGCCTAGCAACGCTCCTTTTAGAGAGCTATGGTGTCATTCACCATTGTGGTCCTAATTTCTTCTAGAAACCAGCCGTGACTAGAAGAGAGCCCTTCCCCACGTGCAGTTGGGGCAGCCAGTCCCTGTATATCATTTGAAGTACTAGTTACCAGTGTCACCCAGACCACATATGACAGTTGGGAATAAATAGCTTAGTGTAACTTTATAGGGTATTTGCAGTTGACCTTGAATTTGGATGGCCTGCTGGGACTTGTTACAAGGTCTCTTTTATACATGATAGCTGAAAATGCAGAGAGTGGCAGCTATTTTTTTTCTTTTTGGTTCTTTTAAAGACAAGATCTTTTGTAGCCCAAGTGAGTCTGAGTCTAGAACTTAGGTAGCCAAGGATGGCCTTGAACTGCTGATCATCTTGCCTCTGCCTCTCAAGTGCTAGAATGACAGGCATGTGCCACTATGCCCAGCTTAGCAAGTAACCATTTGAGCTCAGCATTTATCCCTGCAACTGGAGAGTCTGGGAATTTTTGGTTTTGGGGTTTTTTGTTTTGGGGGGGGGGGTCTTCGTTTGTTTTTATTACCACAGAATCTCAGCACTATAGCCCAGGCTGACCTCCAATTTAAAACTTTCCTCCTGCCTCTGCCTCCTGGGTGTTGGGATTGCAGTATGTACTACCATACCTAACACCTTGGGAGGGTTTTTTTTGTTTTTGTTTTTGTTTTATTTTTAGATAAACAGCATAATGGGGAAATCTTGGCTCCTTCAGAAATGAAAACTGTAGACTTAAGGTTCCACTCCCCCCTTTGGGCAGTTGGTATATATTTTAAACAATGTGCATCTCTTGGTTTTTCAAGTTGAATTAGCCAACCTAGACACCTAAAAACTCAATTGGAAGTCAATGCTGACTAAGAATAAAAGTAAAGTTTGGAATTTTCTTTGTGTGTGTGGGTGTGTGTGTGGGTGTGGGTGTGGGTGTGTGGGTGTGTTTAAGGCACCTGCTAATCTTCTCAAGCATTTAATGGGAGAAGTGATACTGCTTTTTGGGGGAAAACTGTTTTCACCTGTTATGGATTGGGGCCATTAGGATGTTTTTCATTGTAGTTGCCAAGTTATAAACTTGTCAAAGTACCAGTCACTTTGGCACTTAGCTTCTCAACAATGCATCCATGGGGGATTCAGGGGTCTCAAACTCAAATGCATACTAAGTTAGGTAAATAGGGATCGATTACTCCCATTAGAGCTGGATTCTAAGAAAATACTGTCAGATCACTAAATGTTAAACCTTGAGTTCATAGTGTGTCCATACTTGTCTGATTCCATATATTCTATTATATTGCTTTAAAAAAAAAAGAATATTGTGGGAATCAAAGAATGGGTAAAATAAAGCCTAGTTATAAATCTTAAGAAATACTTAATTTAGGTCTCTTGTGTTTTGATTAGTTACTTTTCTATTGTGACAAAACACCATGACAAAGGCAACATATAAAAGAAAGTTTTTAATTGGACTTACAGTTTCAGATGGTTAGAGTCATGGTGGCTGAGCGTTCACATCTTGATCCTCAAGTAGGCAGAATGAGCACACTGGGAATGATGCCATGAGATTTTTGAAATCGAGAAGCCTGCCCCCATGACATACCCCCTCAAGGCCACACCTTCTAATCCTTCCCAAACAGTTCTATCCACTTGGGACTAAGTATTGAAATATGAGCCTATATGAACCATTATCATCTAAATCACCACAGTTACCTTCCTCATTTGATAAAAATAAAATTTAGTGAAAATGGATAATTACCCTCACTCCCATTAGCAAGGGGTAGAATTAAGTTCCTTTAATACAGTGTTGGACACTGCAGGTTCAACAGTCAACCAAAGGGGTCTGTCAATTTGTGTGAAGCTGTTAACCTAGGCTGTCTGTGCAAATGGGTTGTTCTGTAACCCAGCCTCTTACCAGGTGGGGGCTATATTTGGCCACTTTACACTATTCAGTTTTACCAATGTATCTGCTGGGACTTAAGACTTCTAAAATTATTAAGTTATTCTAGGAACTCGGTGGCAAATTCATTTGATTGTTCTACTCAGAACAGGTTGCTTTTGTTGAAGACCTCAGATAAACCAAGCATTTCCTCATGTTTAGGAGCCACCCTATTTTAACGAGTGAAGAAGGGCCTTATATCTTCAGACCATTCAAAGATGGCCAATCTTGACATGATGGAATTGGCTCTAGATGCATAAAGTAATGTTTCCTGAGGATTACTTTGTGCCTTAACTAGCACCTGTAAAGCCCTCCTCCCTGACTACACCTGTGTGAAAGTTGGGTGGGTCATTAACTTTGCAAGCTACCTACTGTCTGATAGAGAAGTCAAGTAAATAAGATTTCTGTATACAAAATCAAACAGTGCAATACTGGTGACTTCACACGAATAGCTATTTGAATCTTATACCATGGGGACCCAGCTCTCTGGAAGAGGTGGATCAGACAGGGATTCAGGAATTTATATCCTAAAACTTGAAGGGACCCTATCCAAAAACAATTATTGTAGCTTGCTCTTAAAGAGAGAACTCTGCTACTCCTGTTGGTATCATTTCCTTGGAGTGTAGTATAAAATATGATCTGCACTTATAGATGACCTTTTGTGGGCTTACTTGGACAGTAGACATTCTAATGGGATGCTCTGAAGTTGTTAACTACATTCACTCTCAAGTTATTTATAACTTAATTGCTGGTATTCCTGGTATGAAAGAAGATGTTTGCTTATTAATAAATTCCTATCACATATCTTGGCTTGTGGTTCATTTCTACCTATATAAGACAAATGCTAGAATTTTCTAATAGGAAAGTATGACCTGAGTATTCACTTGATTTGGAAAAGATGTACTTTCAAATTTTTATTCAGTGTGAGACAGGATCTTGCTAAAATTATATAAAGGTCCAGACTGGCCTTTAAGTTGCAACCCTCTTGGTGCTGGGATTTTAGGTGTGTGCCACTATGCCCTTTCTAGGGAATGACTTGGAATACTGTAAAGGTCATTGTAGATGTAACCAACCGTCTTATTAAATAAGAAACACAGAACCAATGCAAAGAAGAAAGCCAAGAGGTCAGAGCTGAGAGCTAAAACCTTACCCTTCCTGCGGTGGTCCTATCTCTCCGAACCAGAACTACTTCCTGTGTGTCTGTCTTTTTATAGTGTTTCTGTTCTGCCTTCTCATTGGTTATAAACCCAACCACATGACCACCTCACCACGGCCTGTCTGCATAGACCTCCAGGTTTTCTATTGATTGGTATTGAGATTAAAGGCATGTATATCCAATACTGACTGTATCCCTGAACACACAGAGACTTACCTAGCTCTGCCTACCACGTGTACGCCACCACTGCCCTGTTTTCCTATGGCTTGCTAATAGCTCTGACCCACCGGGTAACTTTATTTATGAATACAAATAAAATATCACCATAAATTATATAAAGGTCCAGACTGGCCTTTAAGTTGCAACCCTCTTGGTGCTGGGATTTTAGGTGTGTGCCACTATGCCCTTTCTAGGGAATGACTTGGAATACTATAAAGGTCATGACAGTAAACGCCAGAGAATATGCCTCGAGAAGAGTGGTGATAGCGTTCTTTATGCCCTTTCTCTCCCAAAATTTGTTTTCATTATTTTGACAAGCTTTCAATAAAGTCAACAAAATATGTACTTAAAAAGATCTCCGGCTGGGTGGTGGTGGCGCACGCCTTTAATCCCAGCACTTGGGAGGCAGAGGCAGGCGGATCTCTGTGAGTTCAAGGCCAGCCTGGTCTCCAAAGAGAGTTCCAGGAAAGGCACAAAGCTACACAGAGAAACCCTGTTTCAAAAAAAAAAGTTATAAAAAAATAAAAGAAGAAACAAAAGATCTCCATGATATATTGTAAAAATCAAATGAATAAAGTCATTGCCTTACAGTTACCAAATGTTGGCACACTAATTCATGTAATCAGCTGGTTCCATGAAATTGTTTCACAGATTGCAAATGTTGTTTCTTTAAAGGACGTGTGTGTGTCTCTAAGATAAATTTCATAATCTAGGGCATTGCCCTGAGCAGACAAGAGCCCACAAATTATACTGAAGAAAACAGACTTGGAAACACATGCTCCTGGAATAGGAATTCCATATTCATCGTGTATTTAATTGGTCATACTGTACACATCTTACATTTAGTTGGGTATTTTAAGAACTGTGTACGCCTGTGTAATAACCCAAAAATGATGGAGCTCTCTTTAATGCTATCTTTGAGGCCCCTTTCCAGTGCCTACTTGTTGGTTTCAATCACTCAAGGTCAGTGTGCTCACTTTTGAACTTCATATAAATGGGTCATATGTACTCTTGGGTGGCTAATTCATAATGCCTTAAAGATTCTCCATATTATAAGTTCGATCATTCTGTAGGCTGAAAAGTAAAACATCCTATACATAATACCAGTTTATCCAGTTTCCTACCAATAACTCTTGTTTCCTATTTGGGGCTATATGAGTTTTTAATTTTTTTAATTGTGTATAGGTATTTGCCTGAATATAGGTCTATGTCTTTGGAAGGCACTGTATCCCTTAGAAATGGAGTTAAATGATTGTGAGCCACCATGTAGATGCCGGGTCCTCTTTCAAGAGCTGCCAGTGCTCTAAACCAGCCATCTCTCTAAATGTTTTTAGATACATTTTTTCTCCTGATTAAATACCTAACAGTCAGATTAGTTGGGTCACATGGTTACCTTATGTTTAAGGCCATAGACTGTCCTATACAAAGCGTGCATCATTTTGTGTGCCTATGAATGATATATCCAATCTCTAGTTTCTCCATATCTAAACATTCCTGTTGTCAGTGGTTGGTTTTTGAGACAGGAGTTTGTGTAGCTCAGGCATGACTTGAATTTAAGAAGCTCCTGCCTCCGCCTCCTAAACACTATGATTATAGACATGCACCACATCTAGCTCTATCAGTGTTTACTTTTTATACTACCTATCTTAGCAGGTAGGAAATAACTGATTTTAATTTATGTTATTTTCCCTTGGTGGTATAAACATACTCCGTTTTGGTTAAGTGCTTGCTTAGCATGTATGAAATACCTAGCAATGGAAGTTGTGACAGTTATTTTGCATTACTGGGAAATTACATGCTAGGCCTACTTTTTATTTCATTTTATTTTGACACAGGGTCTTGTTGTTTTGCCCAGGCTAGCTTTAAATTCCTGGGCTCAAATGATCCTCCTCCCTCAGCCCCTGATATTTCTAGGACTGCAGTGTCTGTGTTATTGGTGTTCAGCTTGTAATTTTGTATTTTGACTTACATAAATTCTGGTTTTATGATTTAATAAGTTCAGTATCATAAGCAGTATGTTTTCTGCTGGAAATTTATGATCCATCTCAAGTTAGTTGTTTAAACATTTATGGCATTTTACATTTAGGTGACCTAATATTTCAAAGTTGATTTCTGTTAACAGAATCACATTTTGTTTCAACATGGATATTCAGTTCCAGCAGCTTATTTAAAGGATTTTCTATCCCCCTCCCCCCATTAGCTCTAGGTTGGCACTTAGGTTGAAAATCTTGATGGGTTGCGTTGAAATCAGGTCAGTTTAGGAAGAGTTAATATTTTATTAGGGATGAGTTAATCTCTGTTCATAAACATGGTACATATATTGCCATTTATGTTTTTTGTTTACTTTTTTTTTTGCTTGTGTTTTGAGGTAGGCTCTCAAGTAGCCCATATTAACCTTGAACTTCTTATATATAACTAGGAATGATTTTACCTCAAGTACTGGGGTTGCAGGCATGTGCCCCCATGCTTAGCTATTTAGAGTTTCTTATTTTTTTATTTTATTTTTTTCCTAGTAGTGCTTTGTAGTTTCCCTTAGCTTTTTCCCTTGGGTATATGCATGTGTGTGTGTGTGTGTATGTATGTATGTATGTATGTATATATACATATATATGTTTTTTGTTTTTTTAGACAGGGTCTCATGCTTGTGGCACAAGCTGTCCTTGAATTCAGATTTTTCTGCCTTAACCATTTGAGTACTGTTGTTATCGATGTGAGTGACCATGTCAGGCTGATACTTTTTAAAAAATATTTTAAAATGTCATTTCTATTTTTGCTCTTATAAAGAAATAAAATTGATCTTACATATTGATCTTGAAGCCCACTTAATAAACCTATTCTAGAAATAGCTCTGTGGGTTTCATATATGCAAAATCATTTCTGTAAATGATGTTTTTACTTTTTTTTGTTTGTTTGTTTTTGGTTTTTCCCATTTTTATTTTGTCTGTGTGGAGGTCAGAGAACAATGTTCTTATCTTCCACCTTGCTGAGGTGGGCTTTAGTGTTTCTGATGCTGCCTGGCTTACTCCATGCAGGATAACCCACACCTCTTAACTTTTTACATGGGAATTGAACTCAGGTTGTCGGGTTTTTGCAGCTAGTAGCTTTATCTTCTGGATAACCTCCATGTCTCCCTTTTGTATTGCTTAGCGTTTTGTCTTGCCCTTCCATCCTGGTGACAAAATCTAGTGCTAGAAAAATGTAACAGTGACATTCTGATTCTGTTCTCAGCATTAG